TCCCGCGTTGGCGTTTCTGGCGAAGCCCCTGGCGCGCGAAGCGCATCAGGGGAGTGGTTCCAGCGCCGACGGGAGACACGGACCTCCGACAGTTTAGGCTTGTCTTTGTCATCATATCGAACCCTTCCAAGAGTGCGTTGTTCGTATTGTGTTGATGTTTGATTGTTCTTGGGCGTGTAGAGCGCCGCTCCACTGAGGGCCTACTGAACGGAACACGCCGACATTTAGAAAACGTCTGCCTGGGGTCCGTGCGATTTTCTCGCCTCCTCCCCAGGTGAGATGTATGTAGTCACGGAGGTGGCCGAGTGCAGCTTAAAGGACTACATCGAGCAGCGTCGGGAGAGTCAAGCGACGATGTCCAAAGACAACGTGCGCGCCATGGCAAGGGCTATGATGATGGTCGCCGCGGGCTTGCACGCCAAGGGCTTCGTGCACTTGGACCTGAAGCCCGCGAACCTTATGCTTTTCAGCGGGGTACTGAAGTTGATCGATGTCGACGGTTGCATCAGAATCGGGACCAGAGTATTTGGAGAACCAACAACCTCACACGCATGGTCTCTGACGCTGCTCATGTCCGCGCCAGCCCATTCAGCAGAGGTGCCCGAGCTGGTGGCGATGACCAGGGGGCTCTAGGAAAAAAGCCTGCAACAAAGAGGCGGGCAGCTGTCAAACCGAGGCCCTGGAGCTGCTCCAGCTTGAGCAGGTCTGTGAGCCAGCCATGAATGCATGCGCGGGCCCGTCCGTATGGAAGTTCACTGGCAGCTCTTGGACCAATACTGGTCGGGGTCCCAGCTGGGCAAGTTTGGGTGCATTCTGGATCTGTTGGTGGGCCCTCTTGGGAGCCTGTCGGGTCCTCGTGTGGCCGTATTGGAGGACATCGAGCAGCAAGAAGGGGTGGACTCAATCCTGTCCCTTAGTCGGAGGTCGAAGCAGTCGTATATTGGGATTTTCCACGGATGCACTCGGGGCGCTTGCAGGCACTTGTGGGGCCGTCTTGCAGCTCTTCTGGGTCCCTCTTCTTGGTGGTCCCCAGGGCAATCTTAGAATCCCGCCGGAAGCGAAAATGCGATCACCCCCAAATCGTTGAACACTTACCTTTTTTTCGAGCTGCGTGTCGCAAACTGCGCCAACGCAGCAGCGCAGCGTGGACGGTGGAGTTCCATTTGGGAGGCCTTTTGCGGTCTGGCGAGGGAACTCTGGGAGGCCTGTTGCGGGTCTCCTGGGCCTTGTGGGGGGCGTCTTAGGGGCATTTGGGGTTCTCGTGGGGCATATTGGGGGCATGTTGGAGGTTTTGGCTCCAATCCTGTAGGAAAAGGTTGTCAAGGTCAGCTCGATGTCCCCCTCTCGGGCCCTTCTTGAGGCCATCATGAGGGCCTCCTTGGGCCTTCTTGAGAGCCTCTTAGGCCGTCTCGGAGCCCCCTCTGGTTCGTCTTTGGGCCCTCTCAGGGCCCTGGTTGGCTGTCTTGGGGCCCTCTTGCGGACACTTTGGGCTGTGTCAGGCTTTCGGAAGCCAGGAAGGGCCAGTAGGTCAACATCAGCCAAACAACTTTGTGGACTGGCAATGTGGTTTGCTCTCAGGGGCCTCCTGGACGCCCTCTTGGAGCCCCCGTGGGCCGTCTTGGGGGCAGCTGGGGCCGTCTGAAGGCCATGTTGGGTCATCGTGCGACCCTCTTGGGGCGTCTGGAGGCCATCTTGTGCAGTCTTGGGGCCGCCTTCCCTTCGAGACATTTCAACAGTCTTGGGGTGAGCTCGACAGTCTTGGGGCGTTTTTTTATGTTTGCTGGTTTCGCTGTCCGGGTTTGGCTGTCATTGTGCGTTGCTAGTCCTTTCGATGTTCCTATTGGTTCAACTGTTCGGACTGTTTTGTGGTGTTGATGTCTTCTGTTTCCTTAATGTTCTGAACCTCCCTCGGGGGGGGCCTTCCGGGAAAAAGGATTCTCCTATCAGTTCACCGTTGTGGAGAATTCCTCCATGTCCTTGTGCTTGTGCTCCTACTCGTTGTCCCCCTGTTTCCCTCGCTGCCCTCCCCGTCATCCACGCTGTCATCCTCATCCGCCGCCTTGTCGCGATCATCCTTCTCTTCGTTTCCCCTTTCGAACCCCATGGACGACATCGGCGCTTCCCGTGCTTGGCCGATCAGGTTCTGGCTTCTCCAGGGTCTTGTGGAAGGGCTGCGGGGCCACTCAGAGCAGTGCTTGGGACGTCTTGGGTTATGGAGGACGATAAATGGAGAGAGAGCATGTTGCCAAATAATTTCCAGATGTCTTAAACATGTTTAGAACATGTTTAAACATGTTTAGAACATGAGTTACACATTTTAAACACATCTCTAAATCAATGATGGGATTGTTAGGGTGTCCATTGTCGTGGCATCCAGAAGTCTTGGGTTATGATGTTCCAACCTACTGTAGCCTTGATCACCAGAATGAATTTCGAGCATCAGGAAAACACCCCAAACATAGAAGGTTTTCACGTGTCGGGCCCTGGGGAAACACTCTTTCGACATTCTTTCGACACTCTTGTGACGCTCTTTCGACTCCTTTCGGGGTGCGGCCCTTAAGTACGATTGGGGACAACATGACGCTCCAACAAGAAGTTGGAGCAGGCGGATTTGGGCCATGTTTTGCCGATCGGCCTCTCCCTCCTCCCTCCCCTCCTGCCCAGAGATCGATCCGACGCTCCCAATATGGTGGAGCAGGCGGCTTTGGGGGCGTCCTGGAGGCAAGCTGGCGATGCCCTGCGCCATCCTCTGTGGCCTTTGGTCGACGGGGCGGCACCCATCATGAGCTCACGGCTGCCGGAGTCTCAGGAGCCACCTCGGGCAGCTCCTGTGGGGTGCCCCTCATCTCTGAGTCGGGCCTGTCCCTCTACAGGGGGCATATTCAAAAATTGACAAAAAATTGTGCGGGGAGTATTTTTGGAGTATTTTTTTTGTCACTGTGGGGGTATTTTTTGACTTGCTAATTGTTCGTCGAAAGCCCCCCTGTAGAGGGACACGCCCGACCTAAAACCATCTCGGTGCGGTGACCACACCGTGCGGTGAGTCGGTGGGGATTCGGGGTCAGCCCACGGTTTCGGGTTTCGAGTCCCTCTCCGAGGACGTCTCGGGCGACAGTGGCCTCTGGGGTCCCAAGACCGTGCGGTGACGGACCGTGCGGTGAGGTCTCCTGGGGTTTCGAGGTCACCGCACGGTCTGTCACCGCACCGTTTCGGGACTCCAAATAGAACCATCTGGAAGCCTTCCTGGGTCAGGAGGGGGAAACACACACAATTAATCGTCGATTCCCCGGAAAAGATGGGAGCATATGGGAAGTGGGGGGGAAGACGAAAACCCAGAACATATGGGAAAATATGGGGAATCCTGTTTTTTGTGTGTATTCATTTGTGTGTCCCAGGGCCCCTTCACTGGGCCCCTCTTGGGGCTGGGACCGTCTTGGGGCCTACTGGAGGCATGCTGCAGGGCACTGGGAGTGATCTTTGGCGATGTTGCGCAATCTGGGAGACCATCTTGGGCTGTCTGCAGCCCTGGTGAACCCATCTTGGGCCAAGAGTGACCCTCTGACACCTTGGACCCCCCCCGTCCAGACCCAGGAGAGAGGGGAGGGGGATGGGTAAAGCCTCCCCGAAAGGGGAAGAAAGGGGTTGGACACTTTTTGATCCGCGGGTCGAGAGCGAGCCTCTTCCGGTCGAAGCTAAGCGGGCCGCGCACAGCTTGAATTAAAAGGGGTTGGACACACGAGTTCCCTAAACAGGCTACGCCTGGAGGGCTGGAGAGATCTGTTGGAGGTCCGCGCGGATTTCTTTGGTCGGCCGTGACCCCGCCTCCCCACGTCCCTGACGGTGCCTCCGGCGGTGCCCCCAGCGCATTCCACGCGCGGGGCAGGGGGTGTGGGAGGGGGTCCAGCGCGGACCTCCGACGGGAGTTGCTGCCTCTGCTGTTTGTTCTGGTTCTCTTGCGTCGATCACGGACTCTTCGCTGTCTTTCTCCCCGGGCTACTGCGCTCCCGAGTGGGCCAGATTTGTCCACGATGACGCGCTGGAGTCTCACATTATCGCTACGCCGGGGCTGGACGTGTGGAGCATCGGTATGTCGATTGCAGAGGTTGTCACGTGCGAGCCGATCCTCAAGCTTGCGTTTGTGAGGTTCCTGCGGCGTGGCCAGTTCAAAGGCGAGGCCAGCATGCTGTTCATGGAGTGGCTAGGCTCTATCACGAAGGTGCCCCTTCCCAAGTCCGTCGAGTGTTTCGACGATGATCTTTTGTCGCTGCTTGTGGATTGCCTCCTGGTCGCTGACCCCGCGAAGCGCAGGACGCTGGCCGAGAGCCTCAGCCACCCCTTCGTCCGCCTGAGCAGACAATCCACGAGACCCCTCATGTTCGCGGTGGGCGTGCCCGTGCAGAGGAGTTGGGAGCATGAACACCCAGTGAGCCCCAAATCTCTGAAGTGAGGTTTTGACCAGAGCGCGCCTCCAAATTAGTTTGAAGCCTTCCACGCCAATAGAAGATAAGCGGGTCGCGGAAAAGCGACAAACAGTGTACATAAAGATACGCTTTCGGAGGTCCGCACGAATCTCTTGGGTCGGCCCCGGACTGTCCTGGCGGCGCCCCCAGCGCCCAGCAATCGTTGTGGACCTCGGGAAGCTCACACCTTGTGTTTGCCTTCAGGCAGTGCTTGCACAGCCACTTAGGGGTCCTTCTTGGGTCAACCTCGAGAATCGGATAGGTGTGCACGGGCTTCGCCTTGTGCCCAGTCAGTGAGCGCCCGTGGGCGCCTCGTGGGCGCCTCGTGTTGGCCTGGTGTTCCGAGGTTTCGCCTGGTGCCTGGCCATGGGCATTTCGTGGGCGCCCCGTTCGCTGTGTGTGTGTGCCGAGGTTTCCTGCTTGCTTGCGCTTCAGTCCTCTTTGAGTGGAGTCTCCTCCTGAGTTCTCTGGCCGCTGCATGCCTACGCTTGGGGTTGCAGTCCCTCTAGCCCACCACCCTTGTTTGCACTTTTGCAGCCTGCGACGTCTCGTGCGCTGTGCCTTCGACGGTGCTCGATCGCAGTCAGCACTTCCATCCGCTGCCCGCGCTTGAAGACCCTCTGCGCCGCCGACTTCAAGGTGCCGAGTTGGCTCTGCCTGGCACCTCGTTGGCGAGCGCCCGCGGTCACCCCTTGTGCTCCTCGCGCGCGAAGGGGCCCGAGGCGGCACGGCGCGCCGCGCTGCGCAGGCGGCTCGCGACGTTGGCGGGGCCGCCAGGCTGAGGCGGATCTGGGCTGAGCTGCTCGTCTTGTTTCACCCCCGTCTTCTCGCGCTAGCCTCAAAGTGGGCTGCACATGCCCCGAATGGCTTGCGGGGCTGACAATCCGCGGAGGTATATGACCCCCGTAAGCTGCTTGGGGCATCTGACTCGCCCCATTCGTTCCTCACCGTGCGCCAGGCGGCGCGTTGGCCACTCATGGCAGGCTTGTTTCCCCCGTGCCACAGGGCTTCTTCGCGCTTGTAAAAGTGCTCCTCGCGCGCGGTGTGGGCGTGCCGGGGCTTCGCCCAGCGGCCGCCCGTGGGCGCCTTCCGCGGGCGCCTCGTGCGCCGGGCGGGTGCGGCGAGGAGTTGTTTGCTCCCCGCCCGCGGGCGCCCCGCGGTCACGCGCGCTGGGCGGCCTCGTAGATATGTTGTTTGGAACGAGCGGGTTATACATTGGGAATCCGTGCCAAGAAGCACCCTGCTTGCCTCCAGGTTGCCCGGGGGTTCTGTGTGTGAAGTCCGCGCACATCACCGCCCCATCAATATATTTTGCTACCGTCTCGGCTCAGGTATTGGAAACTGGTGCAGCACCGCCTGCCCGCGGCGCAGAATTGGAAAAAAGTATCGCTACCCTCTCCCTTCCTTTTCCTCTACCTAAGGCAATTTCAGTAGTAGGGTCGACTCTTCGGTCGTCAACCTACATACACAGTTTCTTGGACTTGCATTGTTTTGCGATGGAAAGCGTGCCGCTATCACACCAAGAATCAATCGACGCCCCGGGGTGCCAGGGTTGGGTTTCTTGTGGAAGGCTTCTTGTGGTCGAGCTCCTGCTGTATGCTCTACCACGCTGTCCTTCCGTGGGCTTGTAGGCACCCTGTGGGGCACTACTTAATGCATATATGTATAATTGTACCTCTTCGCTCATTTTGCATACTGGCCCCCACCATCCCAGCATTCTCCTCTCACCACGCGGTGCATCCGCGTTAATCCAGCATGCGCCCACCGCGAGAATCCGTTTTCAATATCACCTTGCGCGTCGTTTCCGAAACATTTCAAAATGTAGTTGTTCAACAACGGAACAAAACACCACGTGTTTCAACCGCAAAGTTGCCAAGGTTATTGGATTCCTTCGAGCGTATGTATTTCTTCACCCGCACTTTCACCAACGCCGCCACATCACGCCATCGCCATCGACAATCGATGCAATTGCCGCCATCATCAACCAAGCGCCTTCATCACCGAAACATGGAAGTCATCATCGTTATCACCGTTACCCGCGTCGGCGTACTCCCTGGCATTGCCGTCGTCATCGTCACCATCACCACCACCATCGTTACGGCCATCGAGTGTTGTCGACGTCATCATGATCTCGCGCCCGCCCGAGCCACCGACACGCATTGAAACGCCAGCGCGCCAGCGCGGCATTTGACACGCGCTGGGGCGCTGCCATCGGTAGGCGCCATCGCGGTCGCATCGGTTGTGCCGAACCAGGTGGCCATCGGTTTAGCACACCAAATTGCGTGTGGGAGGTTGCGATGATTGCGCGAGCAGTGGGGTTGACAATTCAAGAGTTGGCAAACGGTAGTCGCACGACATAATTTGCACCACACAGCTTGCACCATGCAGCGCGCTTCAAATAGATTGTACGGCGTAGCTTACACCGCATACGTTACACCGCGTGGCTTGCACCACGTAGTTTGCGCCACATAGTTTGTACCGCATAGCTTATGCCGTGTTTATCTATTTCGCTCTCTGTCTCTCTCGCTTTCTCTCTCTCTCTCTCTCTCTTCCTCGCTCTCTCTCTCTCTGTATATATGTGTATATGTATATCTCTCTCTATATATATATATGTGTATATAATCCCTTTCCCATCTTTCTATCATCTGGGGCCCTGCGAACCCCCCCTCCTAAACGGAACCCCTCCGGATCATTGGCCGCGGGGGCACCCTGGACGCCTTCGCAGACGGTCCCTTGTGCTTCCCGTGGCTCCGAAGCCCTTGCTGGGCTTCGGCAACGGGCCCAAGTCGGTCAGGAGGGCGGCCAGACGGCCCCGCGAGAGCCCACAGACGCCCATCAGACGCCCGACGACGACCCAAAGAAGACCACCAAGAGGCATTCGAAACGCAACCAACATATTTTTCTGCTTTTTATATGATTTGGAGAATTCGCAGTTCTTCGGTTGGCCAGGCGTCCGAGATTGCCCAGGAGGCCAGAGAGTCGCCCCAAATTTAACCAAGAGGGCTTCCAGGCAGTCCAAAAGGAACCCCAAGACGGCCTAACAGGGCCCCAAGATGGGCCGCGGGGAGCCCCATGACGGCCCAAGATGGCTCCAAGACGCCTCCCGAACCATTCCAAAGCTTGACCCAGTCGTTCAGGAAGACCGCGGTTGGAAGCAGGGTGGCTCGGGGAAGCCCCCAGAAGGACCCCAGGAGGCTTCCAGAAGGCCCCCCCAAACCCACACAGACCTTCGTGAGATTTACAAGAGGCTCTCCTAGGATGCGCCTCCGCAGAAATGAGGATGGTGGCGAATTCAGGGGGTAGGGAGAGAATGAGGAAGAGGAAGAGGAACCATAAGGGAAGGACAGCTAATATAACATTATGACAGAGACGAAGCCAGAAAAGGCAACGACGGATTGTCGCTAAATGCTCCGTTTTACCTCAAAGCCTTCCTGCCTGCATGCTAAACCTGCAGGGCCAAAGTGCATGGCGCGAAACGCCAAAGCAGTCGTGTATATTGGTATATGTATGTATGTGTGTATGTATGTATGCATGCATGCATGCATGCATGCATGTATGGATGGATGGATGGATGGATTGATGGATGGATGTATGTATGTATGTATGGGTATACACATCTATATATATATATATATATATATATATACGCATACATACATACATACATACATACATACATACATACATACATACATACATACATACATACATACATACACACATACACACATACATACACACATCTATATATAACCGGGGTTCCAGGTCCCCGGGGGGGGGCCGCCCAGCCCCATTTCTGCATGGGGGGACCATGGATCCAGGAACCCCCGCTCCCGGCCCAAAACGGTCCCAGTGGCTTCTAAGACACCCAAGGAAGCTCCCAAGACAGCCCCGGGGCACCCCGAGAGGGCCAGGGCAGGGGGCCCTGAAGGGCAAACACCAGATTTCCATGCCGGTGGCAGGGAATTTCGGCCATTCGAAGACGGGCCAGGAGGCCCCCCAGAACCCCCACGATGGTCCAACAAGGATCCGACAGGGAGCTGAGTCACCCGAAAACCGTTTCAAGACACACAAGGATGGCCCCAAGACGCGCCAAGAAACCGCCAAGACGCCTCCAGGAGCCCTTCAGAGAGCGGCCCGACAGGCCAAAATCACAGATGCCGATTGTTTGTTTAATGAATTTGTTGCACTTTCTCGCCTTTTCGGGTTTCCGGCGAACTAAACGGACCAAGACGTCCCAAGATTCCCCCAAGACGGCCTAAGAGGCTTCCAAGAGAGCCCCAAGACGGCCCAAAAGGGCCCTTAGACGGCCCAAGATGGCCTGAAGATAGCACAAGAGAGCCCCAAGAGAGGCCCAAGAGAGGGCACGCGAACCGAGAATTCGAGTTCTCCGTCCCAAGAGGCCCCGAGGGGGCCCCAAGGTGCCACCGTGGAGCCCCAAAAGGCCCCCAAGACGCCCGAGAGGGCTCAAAACGGCGTCCGAAGGCCTCGATATAGCCATGGCGAACAAGTTTCGGGCCCCAAACCGTCACCAGGAGGAGGGGGTGGTGGAAAGAAGGAGATTGAAATAGGATCGAAAAGGAACGGCCACGTATTGTGTCTGCGCACGCCCACACAAGGACGAAAATGAGAGGGAGCCAGAGAGACCAAAGGCAGGGGTGAGGCAGGAACAATGGGACACGAGGGAGAGGGACGAATGAGGGACAAGGAGACCATACTGTGGATGAAGGTTCAGACCACAACATAACGCAGGAGAAGGCAACGATAAGCAAGCTGGGAGAGGATCATCACGACACGTTGAGTGAAGTACGCCGACCAGTAGGAGAGTCAGAAATCATAAATGAAAAAGTTTGGACATCCCAGCGCTGGGAGCTACCTAGAAGCAGAGCGCGCGCGGAGCGCGTGAGCGAATGTTTCTAGTATACGTATATATATATATGTGTGTGTATTGCACCACGCAGCTTGCACCCCATATTTAGTGCACACATCAACAGTGCAGTGCTCGAGTGTTGGCTGCCCGCGCTGGCGAACATGCTGCGGGTGCCGCGACGCAGCTGTTTTTGGCCTCGCCGCCCTGCACTGCCCGCGATACCCGGCCGCCCCTGGGCGCTGGCAGGCGCTGCGAATCCGATCTCTTGCAAGAGATTCGCTCACCACTCCCTTTGCTGGCTCCCCTTTCTCTCACCCCGACTCAGGCACTCCTCGGGTGCGGTTCCCCTTTCTCTTACCCCGAGTCAGGCACTCCTCGGGTGCCGAGCGATTTCTCCAAGTCTCCCTGTTCTCGGTGCTGCCGGGTGTTCTGTCTTTCGGAGGAGGCGTGAGCGGAGGGAGGCGAGCGACCACCACGCCCTGCACAGGGGCGTCCTCTGGAAGCTGAGTCGCACCGCGGATCCGGGCAAGAGGGAGCACTGGTACGAGCGGGACACTGGGCATCGACTGCACGCAACAAGCGATCCTTCGCCAGAGAGACCTCTGGTGCGACCCCACAGAGGGTCACCCCAGCAGAAGCTTTTGCGCCTGGGTTCGGCCCTCCTCCCCGCAGCCGCCGCGCACCAGAGGTCAGTTGCGACAGGGTCAAGACGAGGGTGAATCCGTTCGAGGGCGTTTCAGAACGCTTTCGGAGCGTTCTGGGACGCTCTGAGAAGGCCGCGGCGCCCGAGGCATCATCCAGAGCCGCTGGCCTTCAGAGATTCTCGACGTGTCTTCACCCAAATCTACCCTCGTCCTGGCTTCGTCTCATCAACCTTGCCCAGGGCCGCTCTTGTGTGTAGCCGATGGAAACTGTAACGGGGTCCAGGAGGAGGAGAAGGAGGAAGACGAGGAGGAGGAGGAGGAGGAAGAGGAGGAGGAGGAGGAGAGGAGAGGAGTGAGGATGAGGAGGAGGAGGGAGGAGGAGGGGGAGACAGGATGGAGGAGGAGGAGGATGGAGGAGGAGGAGGAGGAGAGGAGGAGAGAGGAGGAAGAGGAGGAAAGGAGAAGGAGGAGGAGAGGAGGAGGAGGAGGAGGAGCGGAGGAAGGAGGAGGAGAGAGGAGGAGGAGGAGGAGGGAGGAGGAGGAGGGAGGAGGAGTAAGGAGGAAGAAGAAGGAGGAGTAGGACTAGAGAGGAGGAGAAGGGGAGGAGGAGGAGGAGACGGAGACGGAGGAGGAGGAGAAGGAGGAGGAGGAGGAGGAGAAGGAGAAGGAGGAGGAGGAGGAGGAGGAGGAGGAGGAGGAGGAGGAGGAGGAGAAGGAGAAGGAGAAGGAGGGAGGCGGGGCGTTCCAGGAAAAGGGCCTGGCCTCCGGCGCGCCTCGCCAGGCCTCGCCCTCAGCGGAAGCCAGCGGAAATAACAGCGGCGGGTGCGGTGGCGGATGTGAAAGCGACACGTCCTCGGCAGCCGCGCAGCGGGAGGCGATTAGTGGGAGGGCAGCGAGCGCTGCAGAGAAGGAGCCCTTCAGGGCACTTTGCAAGTGTCTTTCAGGGTGAAGTCGGGCCTGTCCCTCTGCAGGAGGAACATTTAAGACTAGTCAAAAAAATAGTCTGGGGGAGGTTCTGCGTGTTTTCTTGAGTTAGCCTGGCGAAGAACCCAACCATATGAAGTTGTGAGTACCGCAGTTGTGGGTATCGTCTTCCGTGCTCCCTGTGCGGCCACAAAACATTGTACTGGGTGGGGGAAACGCATGCGAGTTCCGCCACATACCTTCGGTGGAGCTCGCCCTGGGGCCACGAAACGCTGTACAGGGCGGGGGAGCCGCATGCTACTTCCGCCATTGGGACCTTCCGTGGAGCTTCCTATGGTGCCAAGAAGCGTTGCACAGGGCGTAGGAAGCGCATGCGAGATCCGCCACTGGGATCTTCGATTGACTCCCTATGGGGCTCCGCCACTGGGACCTTCGGTGGAGCTCCCTCTGGGGCCACGAAACGTTGTACTTGGTGGGGGAACCGCATGCGGACTGCGCCACTGGGACCTTCGGTGGAGCTCCCTATGACTGCATGCGAACTGCGCCACTGGGACCTTCGGCGGAGCTCCGTCTGAGGCCACGAAACGCTGTACTGGGTGGGGGAACCGCATGCGAACTGCGCCACTGAGACCTTCCGTGGAGCTCCCTATGGGGCCACGAAGCGCCGTATTGGCTGGGGCAACCGCATGTGATTGCGCCACTGGTATCTTCGGTGGGGCCCCACCTGGGGCCATGAAGCGCTGTACTGGGTGGGTGAACCGCATGCGAACTGCGCCACTGGGTCCTTCGGTGGAGGGCCCTCTGGGACCGCGGATCGCTGTACGGGGCGGGGGGGCCGCATGCGGACTGCGCCATTGGGGCCTTTGGTGGAGTTCCCTCCGGGACCACGAAGTATTGTTCTGTGGGGAACCGCACGCGGACTGCGCCACTGGGACCTTCGGTGGAGCTCCCTCTGGGGCCACGAAACGTTGTACTTGGTGGGAGAACCGCATGCGAACTGCGCCACTGGGACCTTCGGTGGAGCTCCCTCTGGGGCCACGAAACGCTGTACTGGGTGGGGAAACTGCGCACGGACTGCGCCACTGGGACCTTCGATGGAAACGCTGTACTGGGTGGGGGAATCGCATGCGTACTGCGCCACTGGGACCTTCGGTGGAGTCCCCTATGGGACCACGAAGCGCTTGACTGGGTGGGGGGAACTGCATGCGGACTGCGCCACTGGGACCTTCCGTGGAGCTCCCTCTGGGGCCACGATACTTTGTACTGGGCAAAGTGAACCGCATGCGGACTGCGCCACTGGTACTTTCGGTCGAGCCCAACCTGGGGCCACGAAACGCAGGAATGGGTGGGGGAAACGCGTGCGGACTGCGCCACTGAGACCTTCGGTGGAGCTCCCTCTGGGCCACGAAACGCCGTACTGGGCGGGGAAACCGCATGCGGACTGTGTCACTTGGTTCTTCGGTGGAGCTCCCTCTGGAGCCACGAAACGCTGTACTGGGTGGGGGAATCGCATGCGTACTGCGCTACTGGGACCTTCGGTGGAGCACCTCATGGCGCCACGATGATGATGACGATGACGATGACGATTGTAATGATGATGCTGATGATGATGATGCTGTGATGCTGATGATGCAGAAGAAAAAGGACCCCTTATACCAAATTTGTTTGGCCCTCCTGACTCAGGCCCCCCACCAGCGGGTTACGGGTCCTTTTTTGGTTGATTAAGGCAGCATTTGAGCGTGGGTTCGTGGCCTGTCGGCTCGACCACCCGAGTGGAAGGCCCCGAGGAAGTGTGGTTGTCAGCGAACGGCAGCTTGTGTTACAAGAGCGTGTTGGAGGACAAGCAGCTGGTCCTGATCGATGGCCACCAGCTGGCGAACGCGGGCCTTGCCATCTTCGAAGGCCGTATGCCAGAACACCTAGAGACCTGCTGCCGCACGTTTCCAAAACACGTCCAACATGAATTCAATCTTTCCTGCCCACCTCGGCACATGCCAGGCAAGTGCCCAACTGATTTCCTGTTCAGCTGAGCGAGCGGCAGTTCTACAGGCGTTCATGGATTCGGGCAGGGGGATCCGTCGAGCCCGCATTCGAGATCACGACCTTTCAGGATGACCAGCAAGAGGACGAAGTCCACGTATTTGGGTGCGCGTCACAAGAGGACTATTCAACCTGGATGGTCGCTCTTGAGTCGGCGAGGAACGTTGCGGCCGCGACGATGAAATTGGGCAGCGGTATGGCGGCGCAGTTGATTGAGTTCCGTCTGAAACATAACAGGCGGATCAAGGTTGAAGGCGATGGCAGTGGTGACCGTGTGCCGGTGTTCAAGGCTACACTGTGGAAGCTCAAACAAGACACCGACAGGAGCGACATTAACAATTGGCGCGAGCGGGAGATGTGGATATCACAGAACGGGAGTTTGGCGTATCACAGCGTGAGAGAGGACAGAGAGCTCGTCTATTACAACGCCGACGACCTTGCCAATGCCACAACTGTCGCGCTGGACGAGCCAGGGTCTTGCAAGCCCTGGGCTTTCCGTGTTCAGTTGCCCGCTCAGGGTGGAGTAGAATTTGCGCCAGCCGTGTTCGCAGCAGATTCAGAAGATCTTCGCGCCAAGTGGATCCAGGCCCTCCGTCAGCCAGGGCTCGCCCAGGGTTTGTGAAGCGTGCGTGGTCCCGCCTCGTCCTTCGCCGCCTCTCTCCCGGCCTCGCCCTCCTCCTCCCCACCACGAGATTCGTCCGCTTCCGTACCCCCTGCCTTCAGATCCCCAGTGCGCTCGAGATCCTCCCCAGACATGCGACGTCCTGATTTTTTCAGGACGGCGTCCCTGGAAGTCCCGACCATTTCCCCCGGACAGGTTCTTCATCCTGAATCGTCTTTTGACGGTCCTGGGGCCCGGCGAGGGCCCCCTGGGCCGAGAATAACGAAAACCCCCCCGTCCTGTTTTTTTTTCCGACTCCATCACGTCTGGGTCCCGATCTCGCTCCCCGCCTCGCCCCGCACCCGCACTTGTGATGCCGGAGCTGGGCCCGGGCCAAGCCCTCGACGAGACACCCACCAGAGGTGTGCCGCGCTGGCCAGCGCGCGGCAGCGCAGGCGGCGCCCCGGGGGATCGCAGCACGGCCTACCTCGAAGGAGGACATGTGGCACAAACGTGCACTTAAGTCGGGCGTGTCCCCCTACGTGGGGATTTGCGACGAAAACTGCAACATACCCCAAAAATGCACCATAAAAGGAACAACAATACCCCCAAAATAATCCCCAGACTATTTTTGCATCATTCTTTGACTATTTTTGGGGTATTTGTTCTTCTTCGTCGAAAATCCCCCTGTAGGGGGGCAGGCCCGACTTAAGCGTACCCTTTCGCAGCTCCGCGCGGGGGTTTCTCGGAGGGGCGCCTGGCCCCTCCGGCGGCGCCTCCGGCACGCCGCCCCTGGCGCGCTCTCCGCGCGCCGGGGAGGGGGGCCCCGCGCGGGGCTCCAACAGAAGGGGTCTGTTTGTGCCGCTGGTGTGCTCCTCGACGACCCGTGGCGAGCGCCGCGAGTTTGGAGCTTCTGGGTTGGCTCGAGCAGTGGCGAAGCGTCCCGGTTCGCTGATAGCCCCACCAGGGAATGTTCTGAGAACCTTTTTGTGGTCTCCACGACATGCTCTTCGAACATGTCTGGCTGGGACTGCTTTGTTTTCACACATCGGGCTTATGTTCTAAGAACATGGCTTTTCTGCTTAGAACATTTTTGGGTTTTAAGAACATTTCGTGGTATGACTACAGGAATGCCGGGACGGTCGGTCCCTGTTCAATTGGCGGCGCGCACAAGAGGGTAGCGCGAGGAGGGCGGCATTCTCCGAAGGCGTAGGAGCTCCTAAGAAGGCAGGGGCCTCCCTGAAGTCCCGCCCAGCTTCTAAGGAGCCTTCTTACAAGCCTCCGGGCATTTCTGAGGAGGCCCCTGCATTCCAAGGAGCGCGTCGCCCTCTTGGAAGGTCCCCCCCCCCTCGCGCCAACCACTTGCGTGCGCCGCCGACTCGAGCTGCGCGCCTTGTTTTTTTCAGAACGGTCGAATGAACGTGTGGCGGGGGCTCTGATCCCCAGCCTGGAGCGCCATGATCACCGGTTTCTAAAGCAGTCTGTGCCGTGCGTTGCCAGTCGGGGGCGGCAAAGAGGGGGGTGATGACTAGGGGGGGGTGGATATCATAGCGTGGGCCATGATATTTCCCCAGATTTCATGGCGCCTCCTCTTATTTCATTACGTCCCCAGCCCCACCCCCGGGGCCGCGCACATGCCGCCGGTCATGATGTGCACCCCCCCCTCTTGGACACCGCCCTCTTGGCCGCTCCCGAGCCAGTACCCTCGCCGGGAGCGGCAAGGAGGCCTGGCACGCAGCTCTGGAAGCTGTTCCTCGGTGTCTGCTGCGGGGGGAGGTCGGGCCTGCTCTTGTTCTGCCCGGCGCAGAAGCCCAGCGTCAGATCGAGCGTGTGCCTCTACAGGCGGAAAATTCGAGAATAGTTAAATCATAGCTTGGGGACGATTTTCCTATCATGTTTGACTATTCGATGGTATCTGTTTAGTATTTTTTATTTTTCATCCACAATCCGCCTGTAGGGGAAAATGCCCGACCTAAGCCCAGTGGCAGGAAGAGAGAGTCGACCGAAGATCGGGTGTTGCTGTAAGTGCCCCTGGCCCAAGGTGTCCCAAGGACTCCCAAACAGGCCCCCACGGGCTCCAGAACTCACCCTCACGAGCTCCCAGAGGGCCCCAGGGGCACTAAAAAATTGAGCGACAAGCTGGGATCACATTGGGGCAGGGGCACCTTCAGCAACCCCCGAGAAGAGGGGTTGGGGGGGGTCCCTCCACCTCCACCTTCCATACCTTCCGACCTCCGCGGAGGGTGCGGAAGGGTTCCTCGAAGCTCGTCGCAACCTTCCTACGTTATGCCAGGGAACCCACATCGATCACATCGAAAAAGGAGC